GGTTGTGCTTATGGTGGTCGGAGTACTGTGTCTGTGGGATTGGTGGTGGTGGAACTGGGGGTAGGAAGGGTGTTTGCAACCAATTATTTAGGTGTTGTGACCAATATATAGTTAATTTGTGATAAGTAAATAATATGAGAACTAGAAGAACGTGCGATTGTGAATTAGAATTTGGTGAATTTTGACTAATTAATTTAATAATTTGTGACCTTGAAATAAGTTGTAACCTATAAATTTGTGATTAGTGACCATGAAATAAATTGCGATCTATAAAATTTGTGATTTGTGACCTATAAAATTTTTAATTTGTAGCTGAAAAATAATTTATGACCAGTTAATTTACAATATGTGATCAAGAAATAAGTTGAGACATATAAATACGTATTTGTGACCATTATTTATTAAATTAATAAAATATATTTTTAATTAATTATTTCATAGACAAAATTTAATTAATATCTGATTTTAAAATAATGATCTTTGTTTTTTAATTTTGAAATGGGCCATAACGCAAAAGGCTTTCGAATTTGAGAGTTATGGCTGGAAATATGATTTTAACAGCTTCCGCTTAATTGTTTATATATCATGAAATTTTTTACACCAAAAAATGTGCGAAGGCACAGCTGAAGCAACAACACAGAAAATAAGACCGCGCTTCGACGGCTGTTATCCCTCATGGTCGTCGCATAACGTCATCCATAATTAGCATAAGCTTTGCCGGTCGATGGAGCCCTAGCAACTGGACATCTGAGGGAAAGCACTTGCATGTTTGTCTAATGAAGGCTTCCATGACATTTGGATTCGGGTTTTGTTATATATTAGGAAGGAAGCATTTGATAAGGAAACTACCTCATTAATTCCTGAAAATTAACACGTAGTCCTTGGGGATTATGGAAAATCAATATCCACAAGGAAATCAAGTCGCATAAGTAAACAAACTCAACTCATCAAATGGAATTTACCATAATTTATTCTAGAATCTATGGACACCAATCATAGTAAGCTGAGTGGAATTAGGGTAACAGCATCCTAGATGTTGAAGATATAGAAAGATTACAGAGAATAATCTCCATGATATCTTCTCAATTGTGTGGGATTATTTTTCTTAGTAGTTGATTGTATAATCTGTCCTTTTAGAGTTATTTATAACTCTATAAATAAGGTTTTCTATTTTGTTATAGAAACACAAGTTTATTATATATGATTTATAATATTTTAACAAAGTATCAAAGTGGGTTTAATTTCATTTTGGGTTAAACTTTCAAGCTTCTATTCTCGTGCCACTTGTCCGGTCAAGTTTTCTTATTTTGATTAAATATCCTCATCTAGCTATTTTTTTTCTTTTTTTATATATTCTGTCCATATTTTATTCAGTAAAATCTTCTTCAATTCTTGATTCAATCTAAATTTGGGTTTTAGATTAATTTAAATCTTGTTAAACTTTGATTATTATTGTTACTTTTTCTTGGAGAGAGTTGGTTTCCAAGAAAATCGATCATTACCCTGTTATTTTTTCGTCAAATTTAATTCCATCACTTCTGTTGTTTTTGCCTCATCGTGTGCCAGGTTCTGTTTCATCAATCTTCCCTTTATTTCTAAGTGCAGTAATAATACTACCCATGAATTTTCGGAGTGTTATTATTAAACATGGTCTATCCTTTGCCTGTCTAGCTATTAAAACCATTTGAGGTTCTTGTTTTGGCCTTGTTTGTTATATTTATCGGTGTCTCCTTCAAGTCTTAGTGATGGTCTGGTTAGATTGGTGAATGATGACTTTTCATTCTTACTAACTTGAGTTCCATTTTTTTTTCTGGCTTGGTTGGCGTACGAGCAATTTTGAAATATCATTCGATTCTAGGAAGAGGAAAATTTGATTGAATCAATTTAATTTTCAAACTCAATTTGATTGTCACTACATTATATTGAGTTTGAGAAATGGTGTTGAAGATATAGAAAGATTGTAAAGAATATTTTTTATGATAATTTTTCAATTGTGGATTATTTTCCTTAATAATTGATTATGTGATTATCACACAATCTTTCATTTTTGAGTTATTTTTAACCCTATAAATAGGGTCTTCTACTTTGTATAATAGAAACAAAAGTTTATTGTATATTTGTTCTCTAAAACTAATTTAATAAGATCCATTTCTATATAAACATTCATGTACATATAATGAGAAATGTAAGCATACTCTAAATATCTACTTGTGTGTCTGTCCCACATCCATTACACCATATAATTTATATTGACAATTGACTTGACTATGAGAGTATCAACGGTAGCCTTCTTGCCTGTCTTTACTTGGTATTCCCAGAATGCCGGGACTGTACATAAAGGGAATATAAACCAAAAGAAAAGAAGCGGAAAGTCTATGCAAATAATGAATAGAAGATCGCCGGAAAAACAGAAGCTTGAGGAAAATTTACCAAATAAAAGGAAGAGGCAAGGGTTTGCCTTATATAGGTGAGCGCCGTCACCCCTGATCCATAAGATCTCAAGAACAGGTCTCAGCCAGCCGTTGAATGGGGAAGCAATCCCAACTCTTGAACATCCTTTACAAACTGCACATTTTTTATTTTTTTATTTTTTTTTTTATATAAATACAGAGAAAACACCGATCCAAACAATGTTTGGACATTGCAACGAAATAATTCATTCCTCATTTTCTTAAAAATTTAACAAGAAATAATTAAATGGAGAACGGGGTAATATTAAAATATTCAATGAACATAATCGATTTTTAATAATTTTTTCTAAAGGAAATGATTTTTAATATCATGAACTTATTAATTACTAATTATATGTTATAAAAATATACATTTTAGTTACACAAAACGTGATTACTCTAATTTTGTCTCTCAATGCTGAATTAAACAAGGCTTGCTTATGAGTTTATAACTATTACGTCGATTTTAAAAGAAATGCATATTGTAATGACTTGTGATACAAAACTTCGTATATCTCAGCTTCCCAAACGTAAAAATCTAATAATACCCGGTTTTACAAAATTGTAGACATATATATGGCAACAATTATTTGTATATATGGGTGAATTGCCGGGCAAATCTCCCTTGGCAGTGAGCTAAATAAAACAGCCAATCCCTATATAGCAGCAAAGTAGCCCACTGCCAGTGGAGTAATTGCCCAGTAATGCATCCATACACTCTGAAGAGACATGATTAAAAGAACGAAGCACTCGTCTCTATTTATAGCTCATGAAAATTTGTTGTGTTTTGCATTCAACAAGGATATTTACAGCATATTCTTGTATTCATTAACAAGTGGAATGATCCAATATCCTAGCAATTAAATGGTTGTTATGATTCACAAAAATATTTCAAGCAAGAAACTTGACTGGATCACCTAGGCCTTAGCCTTAGTCAAGTGATATTGGTACAATTTTTTACTTTATTATCGAAGGATCGCGTTGACACAGTGGAAATAAACCCTTGGCATTTTCATTGTTGAGGAATAAATTGTTGGAACGTATGAATATCGAAAAGAATATTGCAAGAAATAATCAACAGAAAGGTAAATAATAAGATATGATTTTTTTCTTTTTATTTTCCCTAAAAAAGAAAAAATTAAGAAATGAGTGTGTATGACAATGTCATGAAATAAATATGGAAATTTTAGTGTTTTATGGTGTCATTACTTACTATTTTAAATACTTTGGTATGTCATTATGGTTAGGAATATCAATTTAGCTTGTCGGTTTGGTTCGCTCGATATTCGGCCCAGAAAAATCCACTGCCAACCGGCTCAAGGCTCGGGCCAAGCCCTATTTTGGGGTGTTGGCCCGAGCTCAAGCAAACCCGTGTGGCTCAAGCTCACGGGCTTGAAAAAGAGAAAAAAATGAATTTAAAGGTAGTAGTACTGCCTTTTCAGGCAGTCGAGTGCTGCCTTAAAAAAGGCAGCGGCTGGCTGACTTTATGATGCCTTTTAAGGCAGCAGTTATTTTAAAAAAAAAAAGACCGTGCCCAACTTTGCTCGAAAATGCTCAAGTTGAAAGCTCGGCTTGAGCCTAGATTTTTTGGCCAAATAGAAGCTCAACTCGGCTTGGGCTTGAAAAAAGCTCGCACCAATTTACTCGAACCTACTGTTGCCTTTTTTAAGGCAGCAGTTATTTAAAAAAAAAAAAAAGAGCCTCCCTGGCTCTGCTCAAAGAGGCTCGAATCAAAAGCTCGGGTCAAGCCTAGATTTTTTGGCCAAATAGAAGCTCAGCTCGGCTAGAGCCTGAAAAAAGCTCGCACCATTTTACTCGAACCTCGAGTTTTGGCTCAACTTGTTGGCATCCCTAATTATGGTATTATTAGGAACTTATAATTATGTTATCTTTTTTACTAATAATAAAATTTCATCACAGCCTTTGCTTTAGGAACCCCCATTAATATTCCCTCCTCCTGCCCAGTCCCAACTCAAGAACAAAAACAAAAATTATGAAAGTTGTAGACTTCCTAAATGAAGTTCCTAATTTCCAACATGTATCATTTTCTGCACTTCAAGTAGCATATCCATAGAACAAACTTAACGATGCGCAAAGTGAAAGTTAGGAATTGGGACCATGGCCTTAACGAAAAGTAAAGGAAAACCCTAGAGGTATAGTCCCAAGCATATGCCATTTCTAGTTTTAGCATATCCAAAATGAAGGTGCGAACCACGAAGTATAGAAAATATGCTCTTAGAAATGGAACCTCCATGGCTATTTTGAGGCAAATGGATAATGTTTGGACAGGGGTGGATTTTGGAATTTTTGACGCATGGGCTAAAATTTAAAAGATGATATAATAAATTCATATATGGATTAAAGTCAAATTCATTTAATTTGAAGGTGTTCCTGACGAGGTTTTGAAACATAAAATTTATCTACAACAGAATCTATATCTATCTTTTGATTAAGTTCTTGTTCGATGAAGAGTGTCATATAATCAGCAAGAAAGTCATCCTCCATTCTATTACGATGATCCATCTTCATATGTTTCATTGTTGAAAATGGTCACTCAGTAGTCGCTATAGAAACAGATAAAGTCAGTACAAGACGAATCAATTGAGTAACCATAATATGAGTCCCCGACTTGCCACTCTTAGTTAACCGTTGATATAACTCAACAAGTGTCGATACTTGAAATTGAGATTCACTCTTCATATCTAGCTCAAAAATGTCGCAACTTATATTCCAAAGTACGAATATCTTGCTTTCACAAATCCCCATGATAGAATCATGAATGCTAAATGATTTAAACGAATTTTTAGGATCCAAAGCTGCACCGAGTGTGAGAAGTTCAACTGATGTATCATTAAATCTTGTATTTAATTTTATTAGTATGAAATCTATTGCTTCATTAAAAACATCAAAGTGATAATGATGCTCCGTTGTAATTTGATCACGAGGACGACAAGGACCAACCTTGTACAAACTTTCTTGGTTGGGTATCTCAATATCGTGTTTTGAGCAAAACTTTCTTACTCCTGAAGAAATTCTTCCCAATCATCATCTCTCTTTTTTAAGGAGTTCTGTTGTAGAAGAAACAAGTCTCATAGCAGCCAAGATGTTTAAAGATTCCCTTTGCAGTGCCTGACAAAGATTATCAGTCAATCTCATGATGTTATGCATTAAATGCAATCTGAACACAAAATCAAAACTTTTCATATGTTTGTAAGTCCACGAACTTCGCCCCGAGATCTTCCATTTGGACAATATGATTTTCAAATACCTTGCAAGTTGCAGTGTACATATCTATCAAGCTCTTTATAGAGTTATTATGAGAACTTCAATGAGTTGCTCCTGATCATTGTAAATTACCCACTTGATTTGCTCCTCTTCCAGACTCACACTCCCCAGTAGCTAACATATGTTCAATTTCATTTCTTTGCGCAGATTGTAACCCTATAACGCGCTTATGGAAAGAAGTGATAATGTTGATAATATTGTCCAAATGAGAAATTGACTCCCAAATAACATTAGCTTCTTTAGCTGCATAAACCAATACCAATTGTAATCAATGAGCAAAACAATGGATATTAGATGCATATAGACAATCTTTAAGAAATAATGCTTGAAGTCCATTCTAAGTGCCCCGCATATTACTAGCACCATCACATCTTTGGCCTCTCATTTTTTTAGATTTGATGATGCAGTGTCAATGACGCATTTGATATCAAAGTAGCGTTCCATCAAAATACACTAACGATTCACAAACCTCAAACTAATGGCCATTTGTTCTCTCTTAGATGTATCTTGTGCTTCATCAACAAGAATACAATAGTACCCATCACCAATTTCTTCGTGAATCATCATTCTTACTTTATTCGCTATTATGTGTAAGATTTCTTTTTGAATACTTGAAGCAATGTATTGTACATTTTTTGGCGTATTATTCAAAACAAATCGATCAATTTCTGCATTCGTTTTTGTCAAAATTTTTATCATTTCAAGAAAATTTCCGCAGTTCAATGAAGATGGAGATTCATCATAACCTCTAAAGGAACAGCTTTGAAATGCTAGCCATCAAGCACTTCGAATTGAAGTATTTAAATGTAAACGACGTTTCTTAACTTTTGAATTCAATACGATATGCATCATTTTATCAATATGTTGAGACAGTTTCATTAAATCTTTAGCTCTTCTCTCACACATATTATGATCCGATGATCGCAAATGCGTAAGAAACGCACATTTTGATCCATCATTAACCCTTTTCCATCAGTTATATTCAAAAGTTACTAGTGCCAAACAATTGTATGGATTCCCATCATTTCCAAAAAGATAACAATATCCCTATTTGTTATAGGTAAATACTCTAGCCAAGGAAACTAGTTGAACCATTTTGCCTAAAAGCGATGAGACTGAGATTTTCCTTGTGTCTTTGGATACTCAACAAGTTTTGGTTGATAAGGTCCAGCCTTTAGATATGTCACTCTAATCTCATCTCGCAGATGAAAAGGAAATTCAAGTATTTGCTTTCTTTTTCCCGGTTCTCGTTCAATGCTAATATTTGAGGATGAATGTTGTTCGATTTCTGGTTGAAATAAAGGTTTTCTTTAGTTAGTCCATCAGAAGTTGTACTTTCTATAGGTCTATCTACCCTTTGGAAGAAGGAAAACAAGTTCTTATTCTTCTTGAGAGGTGGTTGACCTTCCATTTTCAATTTCTTAAAATCGCAAAAAAAAAAAGTAAAAATTAAATAAATAAAAAATAATCAATGATATTGCTCTAACGATAATCAAAATATAATTTATTAAGTCAACAAGGTAACATAGAGAAATAGGCGACAACATTCAATTCAATATTGCTGGCAAGGCAATAAGTAGAGAGATGGGGACATTTACTTACTAGGGTATATGTTTTTGGTTGGTAGACACTAGACGAAGATCTCTCCGGCATGAATGAATTAGTAGTGTAAAATTTTTTATTCTATTTCATCCATACAACCCAAACTCCAATAAATTTTGTATTCTATTTCTCAAAAATCAATATACAACCCGTTCTCAAATCTCAGTAATCCATATTAAGTACTAAAATCTAAAAAAATATATAAAAAATCATCCAAGTTACAAAATACAAGAACTAAACTCCAAAATGGCAAAATCGAAAATACATACTGTTGGGAGCTAGCTATGGACCGTTGGCTAATGGCTATGGATCGAGACCAAGATGAAGCATGGTGGAGGAGTTTTAGAAATGAAAGTGATTTTAGGTTTGGGTTTGGTTTATAGGGTATTGAAATTTAAATTTTATTTGGGCCAAGAAAATGGAGTTGGGTCAGGCTATCTTTCTTTTCTTTTTTCTTTTATTTTGGGGGGGGGGGGGTTGGACATGGGCTGGCAGCTGGACATAGGCTACCCAACCAAATGAAATGTGCTCAACCAAAAAAAATAAATTGTGGGCTACTTGAATCTGGGCTTGGGTGAGCACGGGCTGTAGTTTTGGATCCTTCCCTGTGTGTGGGGGAAAGAACTAACAAGGCTGTTCTCTATTGGCAAGTAAGTCATGCAAGTGCATACTTCTTCTTTGCCAAAGAAGAATTTCCCTGCCATTTTTCCCGCAATACGTAAGCAACAAATAACTCTCAGAAAGAGAATGTTTGTTTCATCAAATCAGTGGGATAGATTAAACTAGGATCGGACCAGCTGGCTCAAACTCGGCTATGACAGCATCGAAATGGTTTGCATTTATACTGTATTAAGACTTAAAACTCAATAGGTTAATTAAATGTGTTTGACAAAGCTTAAATTGTAATATATGACGATTAAATATATTTTTCATCCACACATTTCGTAAAACTCACAACTACCACTCTCTTATTGTATACATATACCCTATGATCCACAAGTTATAATCACTCCCAAACATGTTGTCACCTTTATTGCATTATTCGATTTATCTTTGGCTAGAGTGATCATTGGGATAGAATGAAGCACCATTATTGAGAACAACCGTTCTGGACGGACTAGGCCAATGTGGCCTTGTCCAGCCTAAATGGCGCCCCCTCCAATAGGGCATCGACCCCCTCGTAGGCCAATGAGGGGGCGCAAATTAGGCTCCTTGTTTGTGTAGACCCTGTCCAAATATCTTTATCCTATTGGGAAAGTGTTTGTATGTTTGTCACAAATATAAAATAAAACTTCAATAGAGAGTACAAACACCAATATTTGTTTCGCCCTGTGGCCCGGATGTTCAGCCTAAAGGTCTACTCTCCACGTTAAGTATACACAGAATTATGTTTAACGCTCTAGATCCACTAGCATGACCAAAGGTTACAAGTACAACGGCTAGTACTCAAATTATCAACCAGAAAAACCCTTAGAAATGTAGTTTCTCTCTCAATCTTTCTTCTCTCACAATTACACCAAGTAACTAGAGTAATTGCTCACCAAGAACACATTAAGAACCCTCACAACACACCATATTAGAATCTCACGAAGAAATCATCAAAAAATAGATATTATAGATGAAAAAAGATGAACGGATGATAGAGAGAAAGAGAAACGACACCACAACAGAAAATCCTAGAATAACCTCACAAAAGAAGAGACAAATAGGGCATTTAAATAAAATAAGCCAACAAGCAACCACGTGGCTTTATTTCAGCTTTTAGAATTTTTTTTAATGAAAGTCGCATAACCAAAATGCGAGTATGTATAGTGATGAAGCATCCAGGTCAGTTTTCCAATTTATATAAATCATAGGGCCTATGGTTGAGCCCTATTGTAAATGGCCCAAAAGTATTAAGCATATCAGCCCAGCAATGTCCACCATGCTTGGCACTTTTGATCTTGGGGAAAATTTCACATCTAAGAGATTAAGTATAATCAATTTCAAAATTAAGAAATAAGATTTAAAATTTCAAAAATCAGATATTAATTAAATTTTATTTATAAAATAATGAATTAAAAATATATTTTATTAACTAAACAAATTAAGGTTATAGTTCTATACTATTTAATCACAAATTGTTGAATTAATTGGTCACAATTATCTTTTGATCACAAACCAAAAATTTTATTGGTCACAATTAATTCATGAGTCACAAATCAAAAAAAGTTATAAGTCACAGTTTATTTATTGGTCACAGAACACAAATTTTGTAAGTCACAAATCAAATTTTTAGATCACATATTATGTATTGTTCACAAATTATCGGTCACAAACATCCCCATTCCACCCACAACCACTGCACCACCGTCACGTCGACCACCACCTGCACCACCAAAATCACCACTACCTCACCATCGCAATCCACATCACAACCATCTCCACCCAAATACTACAAAAATTCAAATCCAAAATAAATTAGTCACTGCCACGGACATCCCCATCATCGCCACCGTCAGCACCACCACCAACTATAAACACCGCCATCATTTACAAAAACACCACCAATTACCCAAAAAATTCCCACACCCATTACCCCAAAATTTCCCCTCATTTTCCACCATCGCCACCCACAAACTAGACATTCATCAATCGCAAAACTAGATCTGGTTAATGATGACAGAGTGACGACAAACCGTCGCAGTCGTAAAATTGAAACCCCGCCAACGCCCCAAAACTAGATCACCCAGAAATCGACGGTGATCATTGCTTGACTACATCGCCGTTAAAGCAACGGCGATGCCAGCAACACATCATCGACGCTGTAGCAACATTGTTAAGCGATATGTCCGCTCTTCTCAGAGTAGTACAACATGCTCATCGTGGCTGCAGTGACGACTCTGACCAGATGCATCATCACTGCAACTGCTGGTGGATAATGGATGGAGAGAGAGACTTGAAGGTAGAGGACGAATTGATTTCGATGTGAGGATGGTGGGGTGATGGCGCACCACAGCAGCAAAGATGTGCTTCACATAGCTGCATTGCGACGGTGCGATGCTCACGTCAACGGTGTTGCTGCAGCGGCGTCCCGACGGCTTCGATAGTTTGACAGTACAGAATATGGAAGGGAGAGGGGAGAGAATAATTTTAGGCTTAGATTGGGGGTAGATATGGCAGGTTGTGGGTAAATAAATTAATTTATAATATTATTATTAATATTAAAATATTGATTTATTATCTTTAAATTAATAACTGATTTCTATATAAATAAACATTAGATCTCATATTTGAAATTGAATCTTATAAAATCTGGTTTGGTGTAATTTCCTCTTTGATCATACCTAAATGGATTTAGATGTTAGCCCTATTTGTTTCATTCGCTCAAAGTACTTGCGCAAAATTTAACCAGTATTACGATTTAGGAAATTTAAACAATCCTTAAATTTATGCAAAGACAGTATTTTCGCACTAATATCTCCAGCTTTATATTTAATAGAAATTGTTATCTATTTTCATAATTTCCTTTTCTAATATATCCATTAATAAATCAAATTTAACTTAAATGTGTTTTGTCATATTATGAAAAAGCAAAAAATTCTACCTAAATGTATTGCTGATTCACTATCAAAATATAACATAGCATTATTCTTAGCAAAACCAGTTTCACTTAACAAATCTTTTAACCAAATACATTCTATTACATCACTTGTAGCTATAATAAATTAAGATTCCGTAGGTGACAGAGCTACAATTTTCCATAATTGAGATTTCTAACCAATAAAAGTATCAATTATAGTAAACATATAAGTAGATGTAGACTTCCTATTATCATTATTATCAGTAAAATCTAAATCAGCAATTTCTTTTAAATTAATTTCCTCGACAGAATTATAAAAAATTAACGTAATGTTACATGTTCCTTTTAAGTATCTTAATTGCGATTTCATAGCCTCCAACTAACACTCACTAGGAGTGCTCAT